AAGAAAATTCAAGCATGTTGAATTATGAATGCATGTCCATCTTTAAGTAGGAATAATAAAAAACAAGCTTCAAGACATAATGTCAGGTTTTCGGTTACACTGCACATACCTCAAATTTTTATCAGTTCAATTTTGGATAAATCAAAACTTTGAGAATATCTTCAATACAATTGGTGCAAACAGATGAAAGTATTATTCCGGTGTCAAGGTCTTTGGGATCTTGTAAAAGGTGGAGTCGAAGCCCTTGGAGAAAACGCTTCAGAAGAAGAAAAGAAGAAATACACAGAATCTGAGAAGTTGAGTTATAAAGCATTATTTATAATTCATCAATGTGTCAGCCCAGACAATTTCGAAAAGGTTAGTGATTCAGAATTTGCAAAAAAGCTTGGGAAATTCTTGAGAAGTCTTTTGGAGGCGCTGAGAAGGTGAAAGAAGTGAGGTTACAAACTCACAAAAGGAAGTACGAACTACTTCTGATGGAAGACAGTGAAAGCATATCTGATTTCTTCACTAGAGTTACAAAACTAGTAAATCAAATCAAGATATGTGAAGAAACATTAACAACAAGAGCTGTTGTTTCAAACATTTTAAGATCTTTGGCCCCTAAGTTCGACCACATAGTGGTAGCGATAGAAGAGGGGAAAGACTTGTTGAAATTGATAAAGGAAGAGCTTCAAGGTACGCTTGAATCTCATGAACAAATAATGAATGAAAGAGCTGCAGGCAAATCAAAGAGTGATGTGGCCTTGCAGGCACATTCAGCAAAAGAGTCCAAAGGCAAAGGAAAGTGTTTCGATAGAGGTAGAGGTGGCTACAACAAATCAAATGGTAGATGAAACCAAATCGAAGGAAACGTGTCGAATTAAATAAGACCGTACCAAGAAAACAAAAGTGGCGGTGTTGCAAATAGAGGAAGAAGTGGTGGTCGAAAACCCGATAAGAGTCACATTCAATGCTACAATTGTCAGAAGTATGGTCACTATTCGATTGATTGTCCAGAAAAACAAAAGAATCAAGAAAGTGATGCAAAGCTTGCAAAACATTAAGAAGAAGATGAGATGATGCTGATGGTCACAACAAAAGATGAAGATAGATTCAAGGACCAATGGTACTTGGATTCAGGATGTTCATCACATATGTCTGGAAGGAAAGACTGGTTTGTCAACATAAAGCCCTCAATGAAAAATATGGTAAAATTTTAAAATGACAATACCCTAGCAGCTGAAGGTATTGGTGATGTTATGAATATGAGGAAAGATGGCAAGAGGTCAGTAATTTCCAATGGGTTGTACATACCAGGCATGGAGAGAAATTTGCTCAGTATATGGAAGTTGGTCAAAAATAATTATAAAGTGCCAATCGAAGATAAGATGATGAGAGTCGTTGATGCAAATGGGAGATTAATCTTGAAGGCTCATATGTCTCAGAATCGAACCTTCAAGATTGAACTAAATGTGATGGAGCACAAGTGCCTTTCGACTGCAGCTAGCAGAGATGAATGGATATGGAATTATAGACTATGCCATCTCAGCTTCAGAGACATCAGAGATTTGAAGAGAAGAAATATGGTTTCAAGATTACCAGAAATCGACATTCCAAATGAGGTATGTGAGGAATGTGTGCAGGCGAAGAAACACAAAAATAGCTTCAGCAAGGATGCATGAAGTAGGTCGAAGGCTAGTCTTGAAGTCATATACTCTAATGTATGTGGACCAATCCAGGTGGATTCGATGGGAGGTAACAAACACTTTGTTACATTCATAGATGATTTCAGTCGAAAGTTGTGGACTTATCTGATCAAGAAGAAAAGTGAAGTGATCGAAGTATTTGCCAAGTTTAAGTCTATGGTCGAAAGACAGAGTGGTCGAAAGCTCAAAGTTTTGAGAACTGATGGTGGTGAAGAATATGTGTCGAAAGACTTCGACAGACTATGTGAAAAGGAAGGGATTGTGCATGAGGTGGTGCCACCCTATACTCCACAACAAAATGGAATTGCAGAAAGGAAGAATCGAACCATCATGAATATGGTGAAAAGTATGTTGAAAGGCAAGAATTCACCTAAAGAGTTTTGGGGTGAAGCTGTTTCAACTGCAACATACATTTTGAACAGATGTCCTACAAAGAAGCTAAAAGGAATTACTACAGAAGAATGTTGGTCTGGTGTGAAGCCTAGCTTGAGTCATCTGAAGGTATTTGGATCCATTGCACATAGATGTGTCAGATCAGTTGAGAAGAAAACTTGATGACAAGTCAAGTCAAATGATTCTAGTTGGATATCATTCGACAGGAGGCTACAAGTTGTTCGATCCAGTGAAAAAGCAGATTGTGATCAGTAGGGACGTGATCATAGATGAGTTTAAAGAATGAGATTGCACTGAAAATGTCAAGAAATATTCAATGGGAATTCTTCTTGAAGATCCAGAAACTCAAGTCGAAAGAGAAGTTCAACAAGAGGAACCAGCAGATATACCAAGTACAAGCATGCCTCAAAGAACAAGACGCATGCCTGCAAGATTGTGTGATTACATCAGATGATGTAATAGATAATGAAGGTGAGCTAGTACATTATGCTTTCTATGCAGGTGTCGAACCTGTTAATGCAACTGAAGCATTAAAGGATTCGAAGTGGGTGAAAGCAATGAACGAAGAAGTAAAGTCTATCGAAGACAACAACACTTGGTCACTTGTCGAATTGCCTCAAGGCAAGAAGGCAATTGATGTCAAGTGGGTATACAAAGTGAAAACGAATTCGAAAGGTGAAGTAACTCGACAAAAAGCAAGACTTGTGGCGAAAGGATTTCTACAGAAATAAGGAATATACTTCGATGAAGTTTTTGCACCTGTTGCTAGGATCGAAACAATCAGGTTAGTTGTTGGTCTAGAAGAAATAAACAGTTGGCACATATGTCAGATGGACGTGAAGTGTGCACTCCTAAATGGACCCTTAGAAGAAGAAGTTTATGTTAAACAACCAATTGGATTTGTGAAACATGACGAAGAAAGAAAGGTGTACAAGCTGCATAATGCCCTGTATGGATTGAAACAAGCTCCAAGAGCTTGGAATAAGAAAATTGATAGTTTCCTAAGGGAGAAGGAATTTGTAAAGTGCACAACTGAACATGAAGTATATGTAAGAAGAAGCAATAGTGAATTGCTTATACTATGTCTCTATGTAGATGATTTGTTGAAAACAGGTAGCTACAAGAGTGAGATCGAAGACTTCAAAGGTGATCTCAGCAAGGAATTCGAAATGTCTGATTTGGGTGAGATTTCATATTTCCTTGGAATCGAATTCTAGAAGAGAAGTAGAGGTTTGATGATGCATCAAAGAAGATATGCAGGAGAAATTATCAAGAGGTTTGAGATGGAAGAATGCAACTCAACTTCGACACCTGCAGAACCATGACTGCAACGGTCGAAAGATTTAGATGAAGATGATGTTGATCCAACCCAATACAGAAGACTTATTTGATCATTGAGATACCTTTGTCATACAAGGCCTGACTTAGCATACAATGTAGGTATGGTAAGTAGATTCATGCAGAAGCCAAAAGGTATCACATCTAGCAGTAGTGAAGAGGATACTAAGGTATCTCAAAGGAACTTTCGATTATGGCATTTTGTTTCCTGCAGCTGATAAAGGAAAAGAATGCAAGTTAGTGGGATACACCGATTCAAGTTGGTGTAGTGATGCTGAAGATCGAAAGTCAACAACAGAATATGTGTTTATGCTAGGTGGTGCACCAGCTGCTTGGAATTCAAGAAAGGAACCAGTAGTGGAATTATCATCATGCGAAGCAGAATACATAGCTACTTCTCTTTGTGCATGTCAAGCAACTTGGATGGTGAACTTGGTCGAAGTGATAACAGGGAAAGATCATGGAGCAATTACCATGAAGATCGACAACATGTCAGTTATCAATCTGGCGAAGAACCCAATAGCACATGGTCGAAGTAACCACATCGAAATGAGGTTCCATTATCTTCGAGAGCAGGTAGTAGATAGGAAGATGAATTTGGAACACTGCAGAACTGAGAATCAGATTGCAGACATCATGACGAAGGGAGTGCAAGTCGAAGTATTTAGAAGACTAAGCGCCATGATGAACATAAATGGTTTAGACACAATGAATTATGTGGTGTGTTAAATTGTAATCCAGTGTGTCAAAACTGTGTCGAAAAGATTTGATTTGTTTCAGATTTAAATAGATTTGATTTAAGTCTAGAATAAATTAGATTTGATTCAGTAATAAAAAGATATTTTGGGCTTTGGGCTTAAGGTGTAAGCTCAGTTATAAATAGAGGGAGTAACCCCTATTTTTGTAAGCAAGTCAAGCAAGTCATTCACAGTATTTTGCAGTTGCAAAGCGAATAAGAAAGTTTTCACAGTTTGTGAGCAGAGACAAACTCTGAGAAAATATTTATCTTATCTTTTTTTTTTTTTGTCTCATAATTAAATTGTCATTGTGGTAGAAATTCAACATAGACTTTGGTGGATTTCCAACGAGAGTCACTTATCTAATAATTTTATTATTAGGTGAAAAGTCCATATTCATCAATAACAATATGGTAGGATAAATTTAAGGCCGAAGTACACAACAATTCACTTTTTAACCAACTACAAACCTCAAAAAGAAAAAGATGGAGCCTTAATCATTTTTCAATTAATTAGCCTACTATTTATGTGATCACTTAGTAAGAGGTTGCATTGTTATGTCTCTTGATAAAGACTTTCATTAACAAGGCATAAATTAATGCAAGGACAGTAGTATAATGAGGCATACATTTTCACAATTTTTAGGCAAAAAGTTAGTTGAAGAAAAATTGTGTATTGCAAATATCAATAACCTATATGTTAAGCTTCATCTATAAATAGTTAAATCCAACCACCACCATCTCTCACCTCACACTCATCCAACTGCATTTTCAACTATATATTCTATATCTCCCCACTTCAAGTTTCTTGCCTTTCATCTTTCAGTTCTAACTAACTAAGCAACATGGATGCAGTGACATTCACCGCGGAGTTTACTAGCACGGTTGAGGCCGGGAGGTTGTTCAAGGCTTTGATCCTTGATGCACCAAACCTTATTCCCAAGCTAATGCCCACCATTCAGAATATTCAACTCGTTGAAGGAAATGGTGGCCCTGGAAGCATTCAAGAAATAACCATTGTTGAAGGTTTGTTCCAACTTTTTTACTAGATTCTACTCATTGCATTATTATTTTTGTAGGCAACTATAAGTATTTCAAGCACCTTCAAATCAAAATTCATGCTCCAACACCGCAATGCACGTCGCAGCAATCACAATGACCACATTCGCAATGGCCGCAGCTGCAAACACAATCGCAATGACCACATTCACAATGGCCCACACCATTGAACTAGTTTTTTTCTGCCTACATTGCAGGTACTGGCATCAAACATGTTAAGCATAGAATTGATGCAATAGACAATGAGAATTTGACATATAATTATTCAGTGATCGACGGGGACGGTAAGCCAGAAATTCTTGAATTGGTTTCACATGAGGTGAAGATTGAACCAAGTAAAGAGGGTGGTTGCAAGATCAAGAATGTTAGCAAGTATCATCCCAAAAAAGGAGTTGAGATCAAAGAAGAGGATTTGAAGGCTGTTAGGGAGGAGGCATTGGTTGTTCTCAAAGTAGTTGATGCATATCTTGTTGCAAATCCAGAAGCCTATGCTTGAAGTGATCTTATGAGATGGCTTTGCATAATTACATTATATTATTATGATGTATTTTAAGTTTAATAAGCTATAGTTTATTTTAAGCCAAATATGATATGGCTAAGAAATAAGACATAATTATGTGTTTGTGTTATTGGAGTTTGGTAGTAAAGGTACAATAAGATTTATTGGTCTAATTTTGTTTGTTTGAAATAAAGTGATTTATGTTTGCATGTGTTTACTCTAAAATAAGTGTAAGGCTAAAATTAATGTGCTTTTCAACCTAAAGATAAGTTTAATGGTTTGGACCAATAAGTGGAAGTGCTAAAACAATGGATTAATAATATATCCGTTTAGGCCACATTACATTACCTTCTAATAAAATTTTAAATGAAACATGCAATGACTTCTCGAAAAGTGTATGGATAACATTGAAGAAATAATAAACGATTTGTCTTCACGAGAATTAAATTTTAACAAGAAAATTAATTGCGAAATTTAATAATAAAAGGGGAGTTTTTTTTCTTCGAAAAACGGATCTAAAAGAAAAGTGAAAAAGAAGAAAATCAAGAATGCGAAGGCGATTAAAGCTATTTATTGAATTCCCTTATTTTTACCTGTTGATGAACTATGTACTTATTGAGTTTCAATTATATTATAATCTCGCTCCAAATTAACATAACTACTACACCCGATTCCTTGGGCCAACTCAAAGACAAATTAAGATTTGTCAGTGCGTTAATTCATAAACAATAACTCATAAATTTCTATTTCTAGTTCATTACAAAGTTGAATAAATTGCCTAGTTCATATAACCCAACTAACGGTAAGAAATCTCTAATTATCTAGATCGATTCATACGTCGCTAAGCGACAAAAAGAAATAAACACAAGAACAATTTAAATAAGATGATAACATTGAAAGTACTCAACAAATCTGAAACAACCATATGATCCAATAGAGTAAAAACAAGGTTCATCTCAAAAAACCATAATCTAAAGAAACTTAGCTACTCATTGATAAGATAACAAATACCATGAGTGAGTAAGTATTTATCATCAAAATCTATGGAAGAATTTCTCTTCAGTGACTCCAATGTGCTCCAAAATTGCTCATTGAATGATCTTAACCGTCACTTTCTTCTCAGAATTCAGAATGTGCCAGGTGAAAATTGACCATTACACAATGATAGGTCAAAATTACACCACAATGCAAGCCTCATTGTGCTGCGATAGGTCAGTATCGCGCCGCGATGCAAGCCTTATCGCGTCGCGATGAGTTGCATCGTGCACACACAAGAAATCCGGTGACAAAATCAGTTTTTTTGCTCCTTTTTCTTTATATTTTTCACCAAATCTTTGTATTTTCCTTGTAATTACTTTTTGCTCTATTTTTTTTATAATAATTTAACATGGTTTTTGATCATTCTTCTTCTGAATTTATTCCTAAAAATCACGTAATGACAAGTGTCATCACGACTGTCTGCACACTGAGCATCTCATTAGAATTAAAATGCTTACCCTTACCAATTCTTGTCCCCAATATTTTTTTTGATCGACACTTTGATTCCCTGTTTCAAACCAATCAACTCAGAAAAGTTATTTCGACATACAAATACTCAACCTATCTCTCATATGACAATGATGCACTCCATTTGACAGAGTAATCACTCAATCGACATGCAATAACATTTATCAATGAATTTCAAATTTTTCTAATTGAGTCAATCCAAGTTATAATTAAACACTAAATTTGAGATCTTTTTTCGGTTGTAATGTGAATTATGCCAGAGTAGGATAATTTAGGATAATAGGCTTAAACATTTGGAGTTAGGTACCTAGTTTTCTTTTTGTTACCCTCTCCCTTTCATATCTCTCTTTTCTTAATCATTCGGTACTGGAAAATTGAATATTATTGGTAAACTTTTTCTTTTCTTTTTCACAACAATTTTTTTGAAGAAGTTATTTTAACTTCTTATCTTTCTTTCTTTTTGACCAATTTCCCTAGTGGCCAACTCCAAACTTAGCCGTTGCTAACTTCCAAAAGCAACCCCAAAATTATTCTTTTGCAATCAAATAGGAACTAAAATTTCTACCTAACTCTAAAGAGGGTGAAAAGATTAAATCTTTCAAGTCAATGTCTATATAATATGGCTATGTCACGAAATAATGATTTTAGGCTCAAAGGGGTTAAGAAACAAATATTATCATATTAAAACAGGGTGGCTTACAAAGACTCAGTTTTCACAAACAACTGCCTCAATGTGTATTTATTAGACCAATAGACTCAAAATCAGGAAAAATGCAAAATCTAAAAAATGAATAATGTATGAATACTCTCATTAAAAGGAAAATTAAACAATGGAAAATATTTGGCTCAAACCTTACTATCTGAGGTATATGGAAATTGAGTACAAGTAGTCGAGTTCCCTTTTTTTTATCAACCTTCAATCTGCAAGGGAACTTCACTACTGGTCTTTCATTCTTTACTTTTTCGGGTGACTTTGTTCTTTTTATTTTTTATGATGGCACTGGTAAGGTAGAAAATTAAAACTTAAAGAAAAACAGTAACAAACAAGTTTATTAATTTCAAGCAAAGAAAAATACTAGGGGAAGAATTTTAAAGATCTAACTAGTACTCTTCTTTGGATTATAATACAAAGAGGCAAATAAAAACAAATATTGAAACTGAAAAAACACCTAAGTCATATGGTTCAGGAGTTGAAGTAGTCATTGAGATCATGTATGTCATCTGAAGCCTCTGATCTTGGCTGGCCCGTAGAGTCCTCATTCCAGCTCTCATATTCGGAAAGCTTGGTCTTGCTTCTCAAGTAGGTCTTCATAGTAGAATATGTGGGGAAATTCTCCTGCAAGTTTTAGACTGACATGTTCTATTGTTTGATCGTCATATTTCAGCTTTCGCTCTCCCGATAAGAGTTCTTTCATAAACTTTGCATAAATGGAATCTGCTTGAGGGCTTCACAAAATAAAACGTTGACTTATATCTTGTTCAACATTTCCATAAAAATTTTAAACTAACTCACTTCCTTTTCCTTCTTGGGTATTTTTTTCAGAATCAGGTAAAGTCGTTTGATGTAGTCAGGTAGCTCGAGATTTGGTTTAGTTAAGATCAATTTCTTGGTTATTCTGAAGGGTGAATTTTTATCAATGAATTGATCAAGATTATACCATTTAAACTCATCTTCACTCTTATGCTTACTTTTTTCTCCCTCAGACATGTTCTCAAACTCTTCCTCAACTACCACTTCTTTTCCTTTCCACTCTTTACCATCCAGAGGTAAGGAGGGTACCGCTCTATTTTTTAACTCGATGGCCTTGCATATTTCATTCTTTGGGTTATCAATGGTATTACCCACAAATCCCCCATTTGAACTAGCTTGAGCTTCCATTTGATGAGACAATTAATCGACTTGTATCTCTAAGTTTTTAATGGATGCGTTAGTGTTCTTGTTCATTAGAATCTGGTTTTGTTCCATATCTTGATGATACTTAGTCATTTCTTCTTGGGCCTTATTGAATTTTGTGAAACTCTCTACATTGGACTTCATGAAACTTTGCAATGCTTCTTCAAGAGGTGAGGGTTTGTGTTGAGGTTCTTTAAGAGCTTGTTGAACACCTTAATTAGCATTTAAAGTATGACTGCTGCTCTACTTGAAATTTGGATGGTCCTTTTAACCCGAATTATATGTTTTAGGATAAGTATTATTATTCTGAAAATTGCTTAATGAACTTTTGCACTCTCAACCTCGATGGAACAATTACCATTGGCATGTTCTCCTCCATTGAAATCACAACAAAGTACCTGAATCTGACTCACATTAGCTTGATCTAGTTGGGTTGCGGCTAGCTATTTTGTAAGTACTTCTAATTGAGCGTTCGGAGTTGTTATAGAGTCGACGACATGAATACCTTATAATTTCATTGCACACTCTCTTGAACGATGCTTATTCTAACATATATTGTCAATCAATGTCTTCAAATCTTCATTAGTTTTTAATCTCAATGTACTTCCAACTGAGGCATCGAGAAGCATTATTGTTTGTGTTCTCAACCCATCGATGAAGTATGTCATCTGCTTTATAAAATTCACGTTGTGATTCAGGAACTTTCGGAGTAATAACTTGGACCTTTCCCAAGCATTAGATAGTGAATCTTCCTCTTCTTGAGAAAAAGTAGTAATTACGATTTTTATTTCCACAAACTAAGCATTGAAATAATACCTCCCGAGAAACTTATCTTTAATCTCTTTCCAAGTCTAGCTAGTTCCATTTGGATTGTAGTGCAACCATTGTTTTGCGCGACTGTTGTTGCAGTAAAGCAGCAAGCAAAAGTAAGTATTTTTAGTTTTGGGACTAGTGCAAGGGAAAGAATGTCATTCAATAGTCTTTACGTTTCCGAGCTTGGTTTTGAATGGTCTAAAAGCGTAAAGTGCAGAAAGTAAAATATGAATAACTAAATAAATGCATTATTTAGAGAGGAGAGAACTTGTTGGGATTCAATTTCATCTACTCGTCAAATACTTAAACCAATTGATCAATTTTACTCAATCTAAACCACTCGACAATATTATCACGTATCACCCACAACACAGGTTATGTCTAACCCAAAGTTGAGAGTACAATCGAATTGTCTCATCAGCAATGTCTCACGCAATTAAACAACACAGAGCATTAAGAATCAATACACACTGTGAATATTGGATATAAATCTAACCCTAGAGTTTAGAGTCTAATAGATATTCATCCTATGGATTTGAACCGTATATATCTATAGCAACTCAAATTCAAACATAAAGCAAGCAAACAAGGATAACCTCGACAAATATATGTAAAAGAGGTTTTATACAACACCATGATCAATATGATCAAATTAAACTTACATAAAATCCAAAAAATGAATAATACAAAGAGAAGAAAGAAGAAGAGAAAGCACCCATGGTGATGTCTCAAGCATTGATGGAAATCTGACTTCGAATCATCAAGATGCATCATCCAATGTTAT